ACCTCAAACTCCTGGGCTCAAGCGATCCTCCTGCCTCAGCCTCCCAGAGTGCCAGGATTACAGGCGTGAGCCACTGCGCCTGGCTGCCTGGCTAATTTTAGAGACAGGGTCTTGCTATGTTGCTCAGGCTGCTCTTGAACCCCTGACCTCAAGAAATCCTCCCACCTTGGCCTCCCAAAGTGTTAGGATTATAGGTGTGAGCCACCGTGCCCGGCCTCAAAGTCCTTCGTTTTATAGATGCAGAAACTGAGGCCTAGCAAGGAGCAGTGCCTTCCCCAACATGACAGAGGGGGCCCATGGCAGAGCTGGGACCAGGAGTCAGGACATCCGATGCCCAGGCTAGTGCTCTTTTCTCCTTGCCACCCACAGACCTCCAAGAGAAAACCAAGATTCTTAGTCCCAAACAAAATTGAAAAAACATTAGTGAGTCAAATTTTAATAAAATTGTCTCCATGGAGATTATTAGAAAATGATAATAAGAAAAAATATAAGTGTGAAATATTTGTACCCAAGCCAGATCTATAACAATAAAAAGTTGAAAATCTCTGGTGTATTTTATTTGTACGTATTATCAAACAGGGAAATACTGGTTACCCAGATGATCTGGACAGTGTTGGGATAAATTATCAAACTCGTGAGGTAATTATTGCCATGTTCCTAACTTACTTCGAAAAATGAAAACTACCATGGTAAAAACAAAACAGATAGGATTCTCACCAAGGTAGGAAACACCTTCTTCTGGAGATATTGTGCCATACTTTACCATCATCTTCACAAAGTCAATCAACGTTTTCATAATAGTAATCAGTGTTTCTTTCTCTTTTGCCTCTTTTTCTAAATAAAAGAACAAAATAATTTAAAGAAAACTAGTGGAGTATAGTTTCATCTTTTAACGTCAATTTATGAAGTAGAACATCCTATTGAAATATTTCTCCCTACATTTATACCTAAAACCTTTATTTATTTATTTATTTATTTAATTTATGAGACAAGGTCTTGCTTTGTTGTCCAGACTGGAGTGCAGTGGCACCATCATAGTGGTACCACGACAGCCTTGAACTCCCCAAGCGATCCTCCTGCCTCAGCCTCTTGAGTCACTGGGTGTTCAGGTGCATGCTACCGTGTCCAGCTGATTTTTATTTTATTTTATTTTTTTAGAGATGATGTCTCACTGTGTTGCCCAGGCTGGTCTTGAACTTCTGGGCTCAAGCAATCCTCCCACTTTAGCCTCCTGAGTTGCTGGGGTAACAGGCATGAGCCACAGCACCTGGCTAAAATCATATATATTTAATTTACAAAAAGTCTAAGACTTGATTGGAAGTACAGAGCAATGTATAGCTATACCAAACTTTTTCATAAATGGGCAATTATAACTTCTCCAAAAGGGTTTAAGTTAATCTAAGATATTTTACTAATAGAGTAGATGATAAAGAGATAGTTTTCAACCTGAGATAACAGGAACCCAAAAGGAAGGGTAGAAGATTGACAACCCAACAAGTTTTCTCCACTTAGCTGGTAAGTCTTTGAGGGCAAGAACAATCCGTATTCACTAATGAAGATTAATTTTATGAGTTGAAAATAAGAACACATATGTGTTCTTACACATATGTGTACATAAGTACTTTTAGTTTTTAAATGAAAGATTGATTTTTTTTAACAGTAGTATATATTACTTTTTAACCTTTATTTCATTTGAAAGAATATATACAGAGAGTAAAAAGATTCCAATAGTTCAGAAGTAAATAAAAGTGAAAAGTAACATTCTCTTCCTCACTCTGCACTCCTTACTATAGGTAACCACTATTAACAATTTCTTGGGAACCCTTTGTACTTGACATACTGTTCTGCATCTTACTGGAACAAAATGGCTAATTTGATGCCATAGTAGCTCAGTAAATACATTAATTTTCAAATCAGAACAAATGTATTTCCATTTTTGAAGAAAAGAAAAACAAACTGAGATGCTAAAGAGGAACCCATTTTCCCTATTCTTTTAGCTGCCATGAAGGATTTGCTATAAATACTCCTAGCCTTTCCCCTAACCCTTTCATCCTCCCCACGTATGTGGATGGTAGGTGATATCCATTAGTCTACACTTCTCAATGGATGAGGGTTTGGAATCTTTTTTCTTTCCACTTGCCTGGAACGGTAAACGGCAAGGACCTGAGATACTCGTCTGCTCTGAAGACTCAAGCCGTCCCTGGGATTGGCTTCCAAGATCTAGACCGAGGAGCAGGGAGTGAGCAAGCCCAGTGTTGGCTCTCACACTAAGCTACATTCTACATTGGAATTTGAATTTTATATAATTTTTATGTGTCATTAAATGTTATTCTTCTTTTGATTTTTTTTCCCCAACCATTTAAAATGTAAAAGCGGGAAACCCAGCCCTCTCTCACTCTCAGAACACGGGACTCCAGTGGTGTCCGAGTAACGCAAGCCTGACTGGTCAGGGTCTTTCATGAACTAGGGCTCTAGTGATTGGTTCAAAGAGGAGCACACAGCTCAGTCTAGGTCAGTGAGACCCAACGCTAGGACTATTGGTAGAAAGAGGCTCTCTTTCCACGGGGAGTGATGTACTGTGAGGATGCGAGATTGGGGCTGCCCCACTGTCTCGTTCCCACAAGCAGCCTGCCTGGAATGAATCAGCATGCAAAAGGTTAGAGCTGTGAGATGAGAAGAGATCAACTCCTTACACTATTGGTGGAATTCACAAACCCCCTGTGGACGTTTTTAGTTACATGAAGCAATAAATTCCCTTTTTGCTTAAGCCAAACAGTTGGATTTCCATCATTCAGGGCCCTTGCTAATTCATGAGGGAGCCAGTTCTACTGTTAGGGAGTCTTAAGGGTGAGAATTTCCCTACTCATATTAAGCTGCAACCTGTATCCTTGTTTTTGTTCTAATTCTGCTCTTTGGAGTAACATCATATAAGTGTTACTAGACAGGAGTCTAGACTGTGACTTCCTCAAGGTAGACAAGAAATTAGAATCTAGACTCTTTGTACTTGGTTATTCAACCAGCCACGTATCTTCTTTGAAATAACGACCATAGCTGGCAACCTCTGTAATCACCATGCTCCGTGGAGACCAGAACAGAAAGGCAGGTCACTGCTTGCCACTGGCTCTGATGGGAGGCAGGGAGGCCAGTCAAGCCTCTTCCCTGGTGCTGCCCTGAGCCTTCGGGGGTCTGAGGGTGGATCTCCATGGCAGCAGCCGTCAAAGCCAATGTGCTTATACAGAAAAATTCTTAAAAATATAATTCATATTCTGATTGAAAAAGTGATACATATCAGAGAAAATTAAGAAAACAAAATTATTTTTTAAAAAATCACACTTACTATGCCCAGAGATATTTTGGTATATTTCCTTCCAACTTTATTTCTCTCTCTCTCTCTCTGTATATATATACCTATCCATTTTTCAGCACCAAAATTGATGTTATATTCTAAATGGCTTTAAACATTGAACATTTTATCATAAACATTTCTCCCTGTCACTAAATAGTCTATATAAACAATATTTATATTATATATATAATTATATATGTAGCAAACATATACAATTATTTTAATAACACAAACATTTAAAATAAAATTTAAATAGTATATCATAAGAATAAATAAATATTTTAGATAATCTTCTCTTCTTGAATATCTAGCCTATTTTCACAATTTTACTGATATAAACCAATGTTGTCCAATAGAACTTTCTGCAATGATGGACATATTCAATTCTGTGCTGTTCAATATGGTAGCTACTAGCTACAGGGAGCAAAGGAACACTTTAAATGTGCCTAGTGCAACTGAGAAACCAGATATTAAATTTTATTTAATTTAAATAACAATTTGTATTTAGTGGCTACCACGTTTGACAGCAGAGCTATGAATGGTAGTGGGAGTATCTGCCTTGCACATAAGCCTCTGTGGCATCTCTCACTCATTTCCATGGGATAAATGACTAAGTGAATTTCTGAGTCACAGGATATTGATATGAAACAGTTATTTATCTGAAACATCGTTGATGTACTGTTACAGGAATAAAGTAAGCCACATTTTTATTATGAAGCACTGTGTGTAATATAAGCCCGTATTTTGTTAAATAAGATAAAGAAATGACATCATAGGTGTGCACACACGCACGCACATACTTATACACACGTAGAGGAAAACATCTGGAAGGTGTCAATATTGTGAGTGAGTTTTACTTCCTTTTAAACATCTTTTTGCATTGAATGACTTTTTAAAATAAATATGCTCTTTTATAATCAGAAAAAGCAGTAAAACTATTCTCAGG